TTTATTAGACCTTTGGAATATAAAGATCTGGAATATAATAGAAGTGATCTTAACCTTTTCAAGTTGCTAAGAAAATTAACACTTAACTCATGATTTGGTTTTATTATTGGGGCCTTAAGAGGATGACACATGTTGATAAACTGTCTATATAAATATGAACATAAATGTTAAGTATTGGGGGTTATTTATTGGATCAGTTTGAATAAAAGTAAATTTAATAGTTGAAAAATGCTCCTCTCTGGGAGCCATAGAAGTAGATGAAAAATGCTAGAAGCCTGAAGGACAGATGCAGGAAGGATAGCGCCTGCAGCAGCTGCCCAGGTTTAAGGCAGCCTGTGAGAACTGGAAACTATGAAACCTTTCAGGTGCTGGCTACATATGTTGGTGCTTTGTGCATAGCTGATTCGAGAGGCCACAGGTGATTTTATGGACAGTGAAAAGAGCCTCCTAAGCCTTTTTAGAATTACTTACTTAGTCTTCTGTGTTGTTTCTACTTAATTATATAGCCCTAGTAACCAAACTAATTATTAAATTTATTAAAAGAAACTCTTAACCAACATAACCCCTAACTATACTTCAAATATGTATAAAAGTTACACAGTCTTCTCAAATGCCACAGCTGAGAATGTCCAAAAATAACGGACAGGGATGAATTGAGACAATCCAACTAGGAGTGAGATCAGCCCACGTGCACTGCTGTTGATAACCTAGGGTAGTATTTTATGGTGACTTTTATATACGTTTATATATGTGTATGTGTATACAGATATGTACATACGTAATTTTTTCAACCTGACTCAGAATTGGGCAACTGAACCAACCCTAATGAAAAACAATATTTTATTAAATTAAACATTTCTTAGGCTGTGAAATAAAATCTTGAGAAGAGTCATTGATTAAGGTCTCTACAATGAGGAAACAGATTTGAAAGAAACTGGATCAATTGTCTTAGATACCAGGGTTTCTTTCTTACTCTATATTCATTCTTTGGCTGGGTGCTTGCAGCAAAAGGTAGTATTTTTAGGAAGTCTTTCTGTTTTAGATATAAATCATTTTACCAACTTGGTATTGAATTGTTGCTTTATACCATTACTTTGAAGTCAATACAGATGTGAAGGGGCTGGCCGGTTAGCCCAGCTGGTTAGAGCGTGGTGTTATAACACCAAGGTCATGAGGTCAGATCCCCGTACTGGCCAGCCTCCAAAAGAAAGAAAGAAAAAAAGAAAAAAGTGAAGTGTCTCACAAAGATGGCTTGGGTGTAAAAGGAAAAAAAGAATCCCCAAAAGCAGTTTTACATGGGGCTTGTGCTCTTTGTGGGGAGTTGCCTAGGAGTAAGTGTCTGATTCCATTAAAATATAAAACGAGATTATCTTACAGAACTCCAGCCAGTAAAATCATACACATATGCACAGGACCCACTCATCCAATACCAGTTCTACCTGGGGTGGCCAGTCTCTTTGTAAACTGGGCCACGCCAAAGATTTCAGAAAAATCTATTCTGACTCAGAACTAGAAATAAAAATTCCTTCATGACAAAATGAATCATAGGTCAGAGTATTGCTTAGAAGAATTCAAGCTTTAAAAGGCTAATTGGATGAAACGGCCTTTTGAAGTATTTCCAGAGAACTTAAATTTCTTTGGGTCTGTAAGAAGCTGTTGACCTGAACCTGCAATGGCATTGTGAACTTGGTTTGAGACATAGTTAGTGAGATTAGTTTTTAAATAACAACACAGGAGCACAGCATGTCAATGGAAAAAGACCTAAATGGCCAATTAGACTAACTTCTGATCAATTGAACATAATTCATTTGTTTATTATTTGTTTTGGCTTTTATAAATAATCAGTGTTGTATTTTTGTTGTTGTTGTTTAGGGTATCAGTACAGTGTGTTTTACTTACAGATTTCTTTGCAGCTGTTTATGCAGTGACATAAATCTCATACCTGTCCACACCCTAGAGCTGTACAGTTCAGTATGGTAGCCATTCACCACATGTGGCTATTTAAATTTTAATTATTTAAAATTGAATAAATTCTAGAAATGCAGTTTCATAGTTGCACTACCACGTTTCAAGTGCACCTATAGAACATTCCCGTCATTGTAGAAAGTTCTATTGGACTCATAGCACATAGTAAGGTTCCGTAAATATTAACAGAATTAACACTGAGCACTCACTAGATTTCCTGACTTCTGAAGTGCTATATCATGCATGGTGTTTTGTTGCATTCCAGCTTTAAAAAAAAAAAAAAAACTCAACTCTAGAATACATGTTGATCTGCTTTAAGTAAATTCAGCATGAGCACAGAGTATTTTTCATGCATGGTGTTTTGTTGCATTCCAGCTTTAAAAAAAAAAAAACAAAAAAAACCTCAACTCTAGAATACATGTTGATCTGCTTTAAGTAAATTCAGCATGAGCACAGAGTATTTTCTTTCTAGCTCAACGATTGCATTGAAGAAACTGAAAAGCAGATAATAATTACAGTTTCAAATATTGTGACACTATAGCATATGAAAAAGAAAAGACATTTTAAATTTATTTTTACACTGAAGATTGGTTTTGCTTCTCAGTTTTAGAGTCAAATTAAACTTCCTTGGTTTGGCATTAGGAATAGGTACTCCCACCTTGGTTTCACTCAGATCTTATCTCTCCACACACACCACATGCACACACGGATGGACACACACACACACGCACACACACGCACACACACATGCACACACACACACAGAGAAGCGGTCAGCGTGTCTTACTGGCTAGTCTTTGAGGACATTAGCCGAAAGGTATTTGTGATAAACTGTTTGTGTGGTCTTTTTTCAGCCTGGCATTTTGTCATAATCAGCCTAGGAACTCCAGTCACAAGCCCCCGTGTAAGCCGCTTGGCAAATTTCAACATGATTCTGGAATTACAGTATCTGGGTCCCTTTCCACCTACCCTCAAGCCAGTCTTGCCCTTGTTTTAAAAGAATTGAGGCTTTAAAGTAAAATCTCATTTCTAAATTCCTTGGCTTATCCCTGGTTGTTTGAATAAATTTCTCTTTCTTTATGAAAATAGCCTCACTTAAGTCAAAGCTCTTGATACCACAACTTTCTAACAAGTAAGCGAATGTCAGAGTTTGGAAAGTCACTGTTGACGTTTTCTACTTAAAGCAAATGCACAAAGGAACAATAGCAATTGTTCTGAAAAGGGAATCAAGATATCAAAACATACTTCTGATATTAAAAACGGGAGATTGATTTCATACATGTGGGAAGTTGATTTTGAGGTCAGGGAGGGCATTCTGTCTGAATTCTCGGATACTACCCTAAAGGTGCTCAAAAGTAGGAACCAGACTTTTAGAGGGAAGGGTGGGGGATACGGGGACAGAGGATGATATATATATTTTTTAAATGTCCTTTTCATCCACATTCTCTGAGGAACACGATGTCCCATCTGTCATTTCACAAGGATGAAAACTTTCAGCCTCAGCCTTCTGTGAAGAGACAGGAAGGAATACTCAGACTACGAAAAAAAGTAGCTTCGACATGAAGCAGTTGATGGGTTTATATTAAGGAAACATAAACTTCCTTAAACTTTCGGTGTTGCCACCGACACTGATCGTAATCCTTTGTAGAAAAATGAAGAATCTGTCTCAATATTTGTTTTTCATGGATTCTCTTTGGAGTCAGAAGTATTTCTTCCTCTCTCTCCTTCCTGCAGCATTGCTCCTTGCCTTTTCAGAGGCATTTTGGCCAGGGTAATGGAATATGGAATGGGTTGTGGGACCTTTGCAGTTTGCATGCATCGATTTTTGCAACGCAGCTGGGTGCGGTGGGAAAGAGCTTAATTTATTTCATGAAGGCACATTTGCATCCCCTCTGTCTGAAGGCTTGGCTCGGGATCTTCTCTCAAGGATGGGACTTTCTGTCTTCTCACTTACATTTGCATTTGCAGGGTGCAACGCCAGAGGATTTTAGCAACCTCCCACCTGAGCAAAGGAGGAAAAAGCTACAACAGAAAGTCGATGAATTAAATAAAGAAATTCAAAAGGAGGTGGATCAAAGGTAGAGTGGATCGATATGACTTATTAAGAAATTCAAGTTCAGTTTGGAGAAATGGAAGATCCTAAAAAAGATTTGAAAGGGATTATTTCAGCAGTGCATTTTGTCATTTTGTCATAGATAATAGATAGGCTTTATTGTAGCCTGTGAGATACCTTTTTACTAATAGGCTTTATTTGGGAGAAAAGTACTTATGATTACCTCTTTTATCGTGAGTGAATAGGTGAGCTTCTTATGCACATGAAGAAGAGAGAATTAGTTCTCAAGTCTTTTCTTTTTAAAGAGTGTATTGATGGTATCCAGAAAACGAATTACAGTGTGTCTCACACATACCCTCAGAGGTGTCAATGTTCGCTCACTCTTGAGAAGGATGTGCAGGAAGCNCTCACACATACCCTCAGAGGTGTCAATGTTCGCTCACTCTTGAGAAGGATGTGCAGGAAGCTCCCACTGGAGCGTTTCCCAGTTTTCTGAGTGTTCTGTAAGTTTCATCTTAGGGATGGTAGGTTAGTGCTCATGCAAGACATAAAGTAAAAAAAGATTTGCTGTCTCCTCTCGTTTGAGCTTCCTTCCCACATTTATTACCTATCATGCTTTCACATCATTTAGAAGATGTTTGCTAATAACCCGGATTGAAAAGCCACTTTATCAGTGGTCTCTCACCTGATATGTTCTCACTGAGTGAATGAGGTGAGTCATTTGTTTGAGATCTGAACTTAAAAGATAAGTTGAGATTTTGTGCTCTGTAAATATGCCAAACAGTGATCCTGCATAAGATATAGTTACATTGAAGCTGAGTTAAAATTTGGTTATGCAACAAACAAACAAACAAACAAAATTAGTAAGGCGTTACATTTTAAGTACATGCAAAGAAAGGTGGTTTGTTTTTTTTTAAAACTTCTTTTACCCATGGTAGAGCAACTCTTAAAAAAAATAGGTCATTTTATAAACATTGTTA